TGGGCTGCTTCATAAATGCTATTTGGTTAGAGGATAAAGGATTTAGAGCTGGGAGGGAACGAAGAGGATATTAATCCAGCCCCCTTATTTTGTAGATAAATCCTGTATAGCATGAGGTTCCAGGACATCTCTCATTTTGCACTAGTACGGCAGTGATCCATCATTGTGGCAGCTTTTAAAAGTGAAAATACCTTGTGCGTGTATGGCACATTGTAGTTCTCCAAGGGATTTCAAACATATATATGTATGTATTTTTTCACTTAGGTCCTAGGACCCAGAGAGGCAAATAGGGTGATGTTATTCTACTCTTTTTTTACAGATGAGGAAACTGAGGCTCAGAGAAATTGTGACTTGTCCATAGTCACCTAGCTGGTTCATTGCAGAGTCAGGATGAGAAATCTCAGTTTCTTGACCTTGGACCTAGGTTCTGGCACCCTTTCATTGGCAGCTACCTGACAGTGGAATGTGTCACTAAGGGTTATTTTTGCTTTAATATGGATAAATGAAAGGCAGCACAACACAGTGGATAAACCTCAGCAAGACATGGGTTCCAGTCCCGTCTCTGACGCATACAGGTAAATCCCTAAACTCTGAATTCTTCCAAGCAACTTTCTAAGACTCTAAATTATAAAGGATCAGTATAAGGAATTCCCAACACTGATAGAATCAAGGATCTAGAGCAGGGGCGGGGAACCTGCAGCCTTTAGGCGCATGTGGCCTGACTGAGTCCAAGTTTTATAGAACAAATCCTTTTATTAAGGGGATTTGTTCTGTGAAGTTTGGATTCAGTCAAAGGGCTGCACTTGAGGACCTAGAAGGCTACATATGGCCTCAAAACTGAAGGTTCCCCAGCCCTGGTCTAGAGATAACAACAACAATAAAAAATGGATGAAGCCACTATTTAGTCTAAATCAAAAGAATGAATGTGGAACTGTGGAATTTGGTGGAACAGGGTAGCAGTAGAATTCTTCTGGGCAAGAGTGGGGGGAAGTCTTCCTGTGAAAACATGCAGACATTTGTTTCCTCATAAAGCCCTCTGTAACAGAAAGGGTTCTGGGGCTGTGTCATAAAGCCTAATCTGGGACTTTAAGCTTTTCAGTAATTAGAACCAATGGAATAAGATTTCTTTGTATGCTTGCTACTTAGCAAGTAATGAGAACCCCCCCCCCCCACTGAGTCACCTTGAAGCAATACTTCATGGGCTGATGAATTTTTGCCAGGACTCCTTTGAGCCTGTGAGAGCAAAAGCCTGAGTGCCAATTAACCTAGAACTTGCAATTAGGGTTGGACAGACCCCTGAAAAGGGTTCAGAAGTCATCTGTGCTGTGTCCTGTGCTTTGCCTACTTGTTAAAAGGTTGAGGTGTATATGTATTTGCATTTAAGAAGAAGACCTAAATGGAAACTCATAGCTTTGACACTGGAAGGGACCTTTAAACTCTCTGGTCTAATCCCCCTTATTTTACAGAAGAGGAAACTGAGGCCCAGAGAGATCATGTGATTTGTCCAAGGATACAATGGTAGAAAGTATAAGATTTGCAATTGAAGGAAGTACAAAAACTAATGAAGAAAGTATGAGATTTGGGATTTGAACTTAGATCTGAAATCATCCTCATTGCAAGTGGAATGGGCTAGGGTTGCCCAGGTGACAATCGAATCTTCTTTTCCATCCTGGTAATCGTTTTCAGCTGAAATTACAGCTTCTCTTGGGTTCTCCAATAGCCCAACCCAGACCGTGAATTCCTGGAGGGCAGGGGCCTGTCTTAGCTAAACTTTGTGTCAAATTAGATATTCGTAAAACACTTAGCACAGTTCTTGGCACACAGCAGGTGCTGAATAAATGCTTCTTCCCCTCTCTTCCATCTTCTCTGGTTCTGTTTACAAGGCTCTGCATATAATTGGAGACTAATTCATGTTGTCCAGAAGAATAAAAAATAACCATTATTTCTATAATTCATCAATCGCTGTGGGGACAGTTGTAATGTTTCATTGTGAGGGTGATGGTCGGGAGGGGGGCAAACAGTAAGAGACTAATGCTTTGATGCATCAGTCTCCCTCAAATTTCGGGGTAGGGGGGTGGCTTGCTGTTCTGCTAATTGTGGACTTTTCAACCCAAACTGAAATCTCCAAGTGTCATTCTATCCTTCCCATTCCACCTTCAGTATTTCCCCCCTATTTTCTAATGAGCCCCTGGGAGAGAATTCTTGAGTTTTGTAGATAACAAGTCTATCTCCCAGAACTCCTTGGGCTTGAGTCTGAATTAATGAAATCAATCACACAATGAACCTTGCTTTCCTTCCGAAACAAACCATTTCAATGGCAGTCAGGCACTGCAATCAGCACCCAATTCATCATGGAGACATTACCCACTTCCCCTGATGAATCCTCCTAGGGGGCTCTCTCGCAGACCCAGGGGTCCTGTAACCAATCAGGACATCATTGAGAACCAGAGTGGTCCCAGAGGAGGATGGGAGCAATGCTACTCTTCTGTTCAAGGGCTAGGAGGTCACCCTCTAGTTTGGCAGAACTTTGTATCAGGTTTTTTGGGGAAATGGACCTGGCTCCAGGCTGATGACGCCGTTAGACAGGCACGGATGAGGCCTGGGCAAAAACCATTGCTGTGGGTTTAAAGATTCCCCAGTTAAAGTTTTATCAGGCACTGTGGACAGCAAGAGGCCATAAAACAAATTTTAAACCCTTCCTAAGAAAAAGCTAAAGTGCTTTCCCTTGTGCATTATTGAGATAGGATAATTTATTTGGACAAGTTGCAGTAATATTTTTATCTTCTTGGTTATAACCATCTCATAAACTCCCGGATTTCCAAAATCATGATTCAGGTCACAAACTTTTTTTAATCAGTTCTTGTGGCCTTTTCCAGGCCTCTAAAATTTGCCCATCACAAGGACAGAGTTACTATTTCAGGGGGCATGGTGGAAATCACTGATGGGGAAAAAAAAGGCAGAATCAGTCTGTACACTGTAAACCTAATGACTCCTCAGAAGCATCTAGTCTGCTTTTAAGGAATGGCCTTTGAAACCACTTTCTGTTAGGGTAGCTGCTGTTGGTACAAGTGGTAGGGTAGGGCTTCGTCAATATAATTCCAGCATCACCCCTTGATCAGCTGATGGGCAGTTGACAGTTCAAGTGGGCTTAGCTGCTTGTAGACAGATTGTGGATGAGGAATGAGGTCTTGCTGAGGCATCCAAAGCCTGTTTGCCTTTTCCTGTGCCAGGGCTCTTACTGGGGAATTGGTGAGATGGAGGTGGTGGAGGGGAGTGGGGACGGGGGGGGGGGGCACGGACAAAACTGTAACCAGGAATCTGGGTCCTCTGGATTAGCAGCACTCTTCTGTTTCGTGAGCCAGAGACCCCCAGACACTGAGGTGAGGCTTCTAGATTGAAGAGACTGATGCTCCTTTAGGGCTGGGAATGTTTCTTCATTTCTGCCATTGTATTCCCAATGCCTGGCACATAGTAGACACATAATGAGTACCATCTGATAACCTCCTATTATTCTTTCTTACTAAGTAAATTCTGTTGTAGGAGCTAGGTGGCTCAGTGGATAAAGCACTGGGCCTGGCATCAGGAAGACCTGAGTTCAAATCCAACCTCAGACATTTCCTAGTCACATAGTCATTTAATCTCTATCTGCCTCAGTTTCTTCATCTGTAAAATAGGAATAATAGCACCTACCTATCCAATGAGACACAATTGTAAAGTGCTTAGCTTAGTGCCTGACATGTAGTAGGTGCTTAATAAATGCTAGCTAGTATTATTACTGTTTCTATAATGCTGAAGCAATCTAAGTACCATCATCAGGCATCCAAATACAGGGTGCCCTTTAAATTTGCTGCCTTGAGGCAAAGACCCTTTTGCTCTGCCCTAGTTATTATCCTGGGCTAGGGGAGACTTTGGAGACATTGATCTTGACCCTTCCATGTAGAAATAATTTCACACCACACACAAGATTCAACAGCAAAAATTGGAATTCCAAGAGAAAACCAGTTCTATTTTCATCTCTGGGGACCAGTTGCAGCAAACCATTGCCCACCCACTCACTGAAGCCTCCCAACCCACCCCTCCAGATCAGAAAATCACTGAGCTGTAGGTGTCATGATGTGGGCAGCGGTCAAGCAGGCCTTGATGGGCTTCCATCCTCAAGGATCAGGCTTTTTTCTTTGGTTCTGACTTAGAGGAGTCAGAAGGAAACTTGGTGGCGCTATATCCCAAAGACCAGAGCTTGCAAAGCAAGGTGAGCTTGCAGACAAGGTTAGACAAAGAAATCCGCCTCTAATCCTTCTCTGGTTATTTGTGATTCTCCATTAGTTGAAAAAAGCTAGGGTGCTGGAAATAACTTAGAGGTTTCTAGGTATAGAGGGCTATAAAGGATGGTTATCTTCTAGGAGTTAGCAAACATCAGAAAACCATAAACACGTGTTGAAGATCAACTCAACACATCACTTGGATACAAGGATCCATTTTGAAACAAGACCAAGGGGAGCAGAAACCCATGCCAAAGCTACCACTTCATTTTCATGAGTATCCTGGCCTTTTAATGTGTCGTGACTAACGTGGGAACCTACAGAATTCCCAAAGAGAAACCGGGCTCTGACAACATGTGTTGAGGGCCGATCTTATGAGTCTGATAAGGGTTTAAGATCCAAGGCAGAGTTTGACCTCTGCTCAGGCTTTTACCCAAAAGGGCTCATGGATTAAGTGGTATGGCTCCCCAATTCCTTCCTGATAAAGAGGTCTCTGAGACAGCCCTTCTCTCTCTTTGAACCTTAGATTTACGTATTTACTCCTCTATGCAGGTGGCGCCAAGGCGCCTGGGAAAACCTTGGAATCTACAGCCCAATCTAGGAACCCTGATAAGGAGGAAATTCATGATTGTCACATCCTCAGCAGATGTTCTGGGGAGTATCTCATGGGGAGGACTCTTTGAAGTTAGGCTAGATCTTCCCTATATATTCTGTGCCCTCAGGTGAATAAACTGAGTCAGTAATTCTACTCCGCCTGGCCCATGTCATAAGTTATTTCACGCCTCCCCGTTCGGTGTACAATCTGGTTGCGGGCGACAAACATGGTTTTAGGAAACTTTGAGAGGTAACCTTGAAGACTCAGGCAATTAGTGTGCCAATTAACAGAAGCAAACTTTCACCAAAGTCAAGGGTTAATCTCTCCTCACTGAATTAAGAAACAGAAGTCCTGGGAAATCCCACCATTGAAAAAATAGCTGGGTATCTTTCAGTCTCACATGGCTATGTCTTTCCTTCATTGCAAAGGCATCCATCTTAATTAATGGCCACATCTTTTCAAAACACCAGGGTCAGACTTTTGGAGAACATTAACACAAGAGCTCCACTACTGGCTCCAACTTTGTCACGATGGAATGGAACCAAAGTGACTTTTTTCTCGTTGTTGTTATTGGTGGTGGTGTTGGTAGTGGTGGGTAGGGACAAAAGAGCCCACCCCGCCCAACCCTGATACCTCTGGATTCTACTGGTTTCTTCTCACATCAAGAGAACAGCCTTCCTGGAGTCAGTGCGAACTTGCTTCTGGGAGATTTCACAAAGGACCCTTCTACCCTAGCCCTGGCATAGAACTGCTCCTGACACCCACCACGGCAGAACTGGAGGACACATAGCAGACCACAAGCCCTGGGAGAGACGCACATCTGGGTCTGGGTCACAGATCTAGGGGCTGAGGACACAGCTCTCGTTGGGAAGGTCATGGAGAAGTAGGAGGGTGAAAACACACACGCATTCACACACGTATGAATAATGGAGGCTTTGTGTTGCTGTTGTCACAAACAAGCATTCATTGGTTTTTCCTCTTCTCCTGTATGTTTTCCTGCTTAGGGGGCTGGTTGATGAGGGATTTTCCTAGGAAGAAAAAAAAAAGGATTTATTTGTCAGTGTGGAGAGCTTGTAATGATAGTCTCTTCTTTTCCTTTCCGTTCCTTTCCTTCCTTCCTTCCTTCCTTCCTTCCTTCCTTCCTTCCTTTTCCTTCCTTCCTTCCCTTCCTTCCTTCCTTCCTTCCTTTCCTTCCTCTTTCTTTCTCTTTCCCTCTCTCCTTCCTTCCTCCTTTTCTTTCTTTCTCTCTTCCTTCCTCTTTCTTTCTACTTTCCTTCCCTCCCTCTTTCCTTCCACTGTTTCTTTCTTTCTTTCTTTCTCCTTTCTTTCCTTCCTCTTTCTGTCTTCATCCTTCCCTTCTTCCTTCTTTCTTTTTTCTTTTGTTTTTTCTTTCTCTCTTTCCTTCTTTCTTTTCTTTCCCTGTTCCTTCCTTCCTTTCTCTTTTTTTTCTTTCTTGGACTGTCTGTCTAAATCTGCCTCTCTGTCTCTTTTTTCTTAAAGTTTTGCAAAATGAATTACTAGTTAACATTAGGAGGCATGACCTTCCCTCTAGGCTAAAATCATCCATTCCCAGCATAGTACAAGAATGACAAAATGATAATAATAGGGTAAGCTTCTACTCTTTTCTCCTCCTTTCAAGGAGTGCAGAAAGGCAAAGGCAAAGACAAAGAACCCCCTCTCCTAACCCCTCCTTGCTATCCTGGAGCAGTCTGGCCTCAGTGGAGTTTGGAGTCATTCTGTTCTCTGGTACTAATGGCAAGCAAGGGACCAATAGCCTCTTTAGTGTTACATGGATGTTTTCCATTTGAAACTGAGTCAAAATTCCAGCTCATTTCACCTGGGCCCCTGAGTAGTCATTGGAGAAGAATTTCAAATCATTACTGGTTTGGTCAGTGGAATGCTGGGTGACAGAGAAGTTCTGGGATTGTAGGATTTGGGAGCCCAAAGGGATTTTAGAGGTGACAGACTATCTGAACTGGAAGGAGCTTCAGGGGATACCTAGTCCAATCCACTCCTGAAAAAGAATCCCTAATATCACATACCCAACAAGTGGTCATTGGGTCACCAATGGGCTCCCTGCCTCCTTACCAACCACCCCCCAAGGCAGCCATTTTATTCTTGGACAATTCTAATGGTTAGGAAGTTTTTCTCAACATCAAGCCTAGAAAAGCCTTTTTTAACCTTTTCAACTTTTGCCCATAATTCTACCCCTAGCATGGAGCAGAATAAGTCTAAATTCTATTCAATGTGATTGTTGTTTGAATATTAGAAGGCAACTTCATGCATCCATAAGTACCATTTGTTGCAAAGGGTAGAACCATGAATAGTGTGGGGCAGTTGTGAAGAGGCTTGATATCAGGGAATTCCCCCCAAAAATTCAAACTTTTAACAACCAGAGCTATTTGTCTGTGTATTCGAGGTATTTGGTGCATAGCAGGTGCTCAGTTACTGCTTTCTGAATAGAATTTGGTCCATATGACAAATGGATTGTCTCAGTTGATAATGGTTTCCCTCCTTACTTGAGGTCTTCAAACAAAGACTTGGGTGATGGAGAGCTCACTATTTCTATAGCAGAAGAAAAGATAAAAAGCAAAACAGTATCAGCCAGCACTGGCTCAGTTGTTCGCCTCTATTTTCTGTCCCCACTCCCCCCCTGTGACGAAAACGCTTTCTTTTTCTCTCTTAGCCTCTCCAGACCACAGCTGAGGTGGGAGCCGTCCCTTTAAATTGGTGGTATGCTTGTTATCTCTAGCAATGGGTGCAAAGGGAAAGCTTTAAGTAATGAACCTGAATCCTGTTAAGCCTAGGGATTCTGAGACTTTCATTGGTGCCCGAGACCAGCCCTCTAAATGAGAAGGCTGAAATGAATCAGACTGGCCACTCCTACCCTGTTATTCCCCAATCTAATTTTTCTTCCTTGAACAGAGATAGGGATTTGAGTAGAATCAGGGGCAGAAGGAGATTCCTTGCACTCATTCTTCATTACTAGCAATACCACATTGCCAGTAAATCCTTAGGCAAATACTGAGTAGTATAAAATGCTGCAAAATCGTTAGAATTTTCCTTACAAGAGAAATGTAGTTTTACAGGTGAATTAATTTTTTTTTTATATACCACTGCCTAACTTCTTTAATAAAGAAGCAATCAATCTACATGCATCTATCAATGCCTGCTATGTTCCTGGTAATGTGCTAGGTACTGGGGAGTCAAAAAACAAAATGGGTTATAGTAGCAATAATAATGATAAAAATAATAACTAGTATTTTTATCAAGCTTTAGGGTATAGCCTCATAACAACCCTGTGAGGTAAGCGCTACTATTACCCCCATTTTACAGATGAGGAAACTGAGGAAGACAGTGATTTAAGTGACACACCCAGCATCACAGAGCCAGCAAAAGTCTGAGACTGGATCTGAACTCAGGTTTTCCTGACTCCAGTTCCAGTGCTCTGTCTACACCATCACTTGGTATTTGTTGACCTTGGCTTTCTTCATTTACCTGTGTTCTGGGCCCTGAATGTAGACTTCTGACCCCATTCTTTGACCCCTTGGGTCACTTCTGCACTGCAGCACTCACAAAGCTAATCTTATACATGGCAATGCCTCAGTTTTGTACGTAACCTCCATTACCCACCCTTGCTTTCATCTTCTGTACATGTCACTTAAATCTAAGTTGATCTGGTGAGTTCCCCATGTCAACCTGTCAATCTCTTTAGACAACTTCCCCTCTTCCTCCTCATCTGATTTGTTTCTTTGCATGTTTAGAATTCTGTTCTTGATATCTCCCCATCCCTTCTGGGCTAACTTTTCCTACAGAATTTTTGCTCATAGGAGCCTGGCTATCCTTCCCCTGAACCCTCTGAAACAAGTTCTCCCCAAATCCTGGGTGCATGCACATCAAACCATAGTCTCTGTTTTCCTCTCCTCTGTCAAAAATTCTGATATGCAATGGTCACTTCCCCACAATGTTCCCATCATTGCCACCCCCAACAACCGGTTCCTCTGCCTTCCGGAGAACCAGATACAGAATAAAATTTCTCTTTGTTCCCTCCTACTTTTTGAAGCATGAAATTATCATTAAGGCAAATAGAAATACTATTGTACTTAGAGTCAGAAGATGTGGAAATTAACTCTGCTACTTACTTCCTGTGTGGCCCTGGCCTGCTCACATCTCTGTCCACTCAGCTGTCAAACGATGGTTCTTTCCGGGTCTAAAATCTATAATGCTATGCAATGATTAGTCACTCTTCTTTTGTCAGAGAGTTCCAGAAGATATTTAGATCTTAGACGTAAAGAAGGAGGGAACCATAGAGGTCAGGCCCAAACTCCTCATTTTACAAATGAAGAAACTGAGGCTGAGAGATGGTAAGTTACTTGCCAGGGGTCACACAGATAGTAAGTGTCTGAGGTAAGATTTGAACTCAGGTCTTCCTGATTCTAGGCCTAGCTGGAACAAAGGATTGAGATGGAGGCTCCACTTGGTTTTAGTTTTAGTTTTTGGATTCCTTCCCACCCTCCTTCCCTGTCTCAGCTTCATTTGCGTGCGAGATCTAAGGGATTTTGAGGAAACAGATAAAAACTAGGGAGGAGAAAGACAGAGACAGAGCTAGCAAAAGAGAGAAAGAGATAGAGGGGGACAGAGAAAGAGAGAGACAGAGAGAGAGAGAGAGAGAGAGACAGAGAGAGAGAGAGAGAGAGAGAGAGGTCATAGAAGGGAACATGCTCTCTATACACATGCCTTGACCACATGCGACTCCTATATGAATGTCTTTCCATACATGCTAGGCATATCCACTCTTCCAACTAATAGTATTATGGGACAGTGTGCCCCAGGTTTGTAGGGAAATGTTCTAAGGCTACTTTTTATATTATGCTGTTTTATTTAATGCATTTGCTTTAAAGTAATTACTCCTTCTGGCTGACTATAAAAGGTAAACACACTAATGGGGGCTCATGAACTATGGTTTTCAGTGGATGTAGACCCAAAGAGTAACTTGCATTTGGGATAGTTTCTTGTAGAACCCAAGTGTAATGGGGTTACCTCCAGTTGCTATATCGAAACTTATTTTATAGAAGAAGAAAATGAGGCTCAGAGAAGAAAGGAAATATTTTATCATTATTTTACAGATGAAAAGACTTAAAGAGGTACACATCTACAGATGAGGAAACTTCAGAGAGGTGAAGTATTTTGTCCAGCTAATAAGGGCCAGAACTAAGCTTTGAAGATGAGTTTCACTGAACTCCCTGTCCAGCACTTTTGCTCCATGGCAAATTTGAATGAGAATTAGATTAGATGATGAGGAAGCTCCCTCTCAGCTCTAAAATCCCTCGATTCTGTATGTTTGCTGACACTGCTTGTGGGCATCTCTTCCCTAAGAACTTGATTAAGAACTTGGACAACATTATAGGTCACTCAGCACTCAGCTAGGCCAATAGTAAATCGAGCAGAAAAGCTTCCTTTTTCTTTACCCTGAGGGTCATTGTCCTTGGAGCTTAGAAAGACCTTTCTCAGCTTTGGAAGTAGCCTGGCTGGGCTAGTTGGCTGTGAGGTCAAAAATCTCCTCCCTTGGAAGAGGGGGGAGGGATAGAAGAAATAAGAATGTCTGGGGTACTGTCCTGACCCTGGCTGTGAACCAGAAATTTTCATTTCATGAAGAACTATCTATCTCTATAGAAAAATCTGTGCTCTTTTGCACCCAATTGGGAAAGAGTTTAGGGAAAATGTCACAGGGAGCAGATTTCTAGCTCTTTGGCCAAAGGGAAGAAAGGCTCGAAATGAGGTCCATAAATTAAGACAAATGTATCCTAGGCATCAGAGAGAGCTAATGCCACGGTGTTCATCACACCATGCAGAGAAAGCCAGTCTTTACCCCTGAACTCCCCTTCTCATGCCCATCCCCCAAAGGGTCTGCCCAAGCTAACTGCAATGTAGCATTCCAAAGCATGTTGGGAAGGCCTGGATCCTAGAAAAAAAAATCACTAAGAAATGAACCAGACTCTTTGGTGGCATCTGTCCCGAAGGGAACAGA